ATTAAGATGTGTTTTATATATATATATATATATATACACACACACACACACACACTCCTCACAACAAATGTAATCATAATGTACTACAAACACGTACTAATAAAAATTTTAAAAATTAAAAATAGATTAACTGGCACAGCAGCCTTATTTATAATAGCCAAAAATTAGAAATGATGTCCTTCAATAGGTGAATGGTTAAAAACAAAAATTGTTACTTTCATAGTATGACATACTACTCAGTAATAAAAAGGAAAAAACCCAGGGCCGGGGATTTAGCTCAGTGGTGCCGTGCCTGCCTCAAAAAGTCCAAAGTCCTGAGTTTAATCCCTAGTACCAAAGGGAAAAAAAAAAAAAGGGAAAAAAACCTGATTAAAAATAACTTGGATAATTTTCCAGAAAATCTTGTTGAGTGAAAAAAATTCAATCCCAAAAGGTTATATATTACATAATTCCATGCATGTAACATTTTTTCAAATGACAAAATTGTAGAAATGAAGAACAGATTAGTGGCTGCCAATCACTAAGGAGGGAGCAGGAAGGCCAGCAGGTGTGGCTATAAAAAGGCAATATGAAGAATCCTTGTTGTGGTGGAAATGTTCTGTATCTTCACTGGGTCAGTGACAATATCCTCTTTGTGTTATCATAGATACTGTGGTTTTTTCAGGGGTACCCAACAGGGAAAACTGGATCAGTATAGACAGAATCTCTATTATTACAACTGTATATGAATCTACAATATCTCAAAAATTAAAACTTTAGTTTTTTAACAAAGATGTTATAGTTAATTCTGGAATAGCATTTTGCAGGTTCCAAACAACAGCAGATAGTGCTCACTTCAGCAGCACATATACCAAACAACAGCAGATTATGAAAATAGGCCATTCAGATTCTTAGTGTTTGTCTTTTAAAATAAAAGTCTTAGGGCTGGAGATTTAGCTCAGTGGTGCCGCCACCAGCCTCGCAAGTGCAAGGTCCTGAGTTCGACCTCCGGTACCAAAAAAATAAAAATAAAAGTCTTAGTTTGGGCAGCCAAAAATCACTTGAGTACACTCAAGCCAATAGAATCACAAGGTGGTAGGTTCCTCATCAACTGGACAACATTCATTCTACAATTATCATTACTATGGTCATCTAGCTCCCTTCAAATCCAGCTATCAATCATTCCAAGCCTCCCTATGCTGAATTTTTTTTAATACAGGTACATTCTCCTTTTAGGAAATCCAATTTATGAACAGTCACATTTATTCCCCAAACAAGTATCAGTTAAGCAAAAGACGTTTTACTTTTCAAAGAACTACTATGTAGCATATTTCTGCAGAATATTTTAAGGGATTCTTTGATTAAAACTCCATTTAGGGTCAGGGATTTAGTTCAGTGGTTCCACCATCTGCCTCGGAAGCACAACGTCCCAAGTTCGATTCCCAGTACGAAAAAAAAGAAAACTCCATTTAGCCCTCCCTTTTCAAAATCTCATCTACTTAAACCACATGTAACCCTTCCATGGGACCAAATCACTCTTACAATTTCATAGAAGAGTCAAAGGCTTAGTCATATGAACTACTGGGCAGAAGTGGTCCTGTCTCCTAACTCCTAAACTATTGCTCTTGCCCAAGTCTATCATTTCCTTCCTTTTTGTTGTTGTTGTTTTTTTGTTTTTTGAGACAGGGTCTCAGTAGTTCAGGCTGGTCCTGAACTCACTATGTAGACCAGGCTGACCTCAAACTTGCATCGATCCTCCTGCCTCAGCTTCCTAAGTGCTAGGATTACAGGCATGCACCACTACCCCCGGCTAAGTCTATCATTTCTGCTTTTCCCACTTTAAACAATTATCTTTCTTATGGAATTCTTTTCTATTTAGACCTCACATTACACAGAATTTGTTAAGTCAAGCAGAACTCTGCAAGCCATCTCGAAATCCAGGGACAAAGGTATTTGGGACAGATGTTTTAGAATACTGATGAGGAACACCCAAGCCTATCGTGTAGTTAGGGGGAAACAGGCCCTCCAGGCTGGAGCTGGCTGCATTCTTTTTCCAGTTGTCACTCAATGGATATTCAACTTTACAAGTTATCTTACTTAATATACCTTGACTTGCCTATTTTCAGCAAAATGGCAAGAAAACAATAGCAGAAATAGTATAATGAGACAACATAATTGGTTATGTTCCTCAAAAAAATGAAGCATAGATTTCACATGTGGCTGTATAATTACTAAAACCATTCTAGAATCATCTTTATTTGATAGAGTTCAAATTCTTCTCATTATTTACAAGCCCTCTGTATAGGAAGGGGGAGTTTTATTTAAGAGACTGATTTGCCTGAAGTCAGAGAGCTTGACCCGTGTCTTACCCACTTCTGAATCCTTGTAATATTTCCTGGTACCATACACTGCTGCTATTCCTAATCATTAGGGATGGGAGAAAGAAACACCTTTGTTATTCAAGTCCCATGGACCAGTCTTTCAGCATCAGCCCTACTGGTATTTTGCACAGAATAATGTTTGTCATGGAAGTTGACCTGTGCATTGTAGATGACCTAGCCAGCCACATCCTTAGGGCTCCATTCGCTAGATGCCAGTAGAACACCGCTGCCTAGTTTCGACAACAAAAATGTCTCCAGCTGGGTACGGTGGCACATGCAAGTAATCCCAGCATTCTAATCCCAGCACTCAGGAGGCTGAGGCAGGAAGATCACTTCATCACTGCAATTTCAAGGCCAGCCTTGGCTACATAGTGAGTTCAAGACCAACCTAAACTGCATAGTGTCTCAACAAAAATACAAAAAAAAACCCTCTTTATTTCACCAACCATAATTCTTTATCACAATTACACTTCCCCAAAAGTCTTGCACCTAATGAGGCTCAATAAACTTTTTCTGAATGAATGGTCCTGAGACAGAAGGTCTATCATCCCAGCCCCAAGCTCCAAACCCCACTCTAGGGGAGATGTTTAAGCAAGCAGGGAGATGTGATTTTTGCATTTGATCTGAAGTTTTTTCCAACTCTCACAATCTGAGTCAGGAAGAGGCAGAAAGAGATGACTCGCGGCCCAGCCTGGCAGCTACATCTTTAAACTACTAAAGACTTGCTTGACTATGACCACAAATCATGCATCAGGAGCTATATGGATTTGTGTATTTCTGTGAATATTTCTATACATATACACTAAATGTGTATGTACACATATGCATATAACTCTACAAATATATGTATAGATATGTAGCTAGGTCCCCTCTATAAGAAATCAAGCAAACATCTATCTACAAGGTTTCTGAGACCAGCACGAGGAGGCCTAAACTGCAGATCCCCCTGCCTCTATATATTAATGAGGCAAGGCAAACAGTATCTCACATGGTGCTCCCCATAAAATACCAACAGATCTGCCAACCCCAATACTCCCTGAGGTACTAGAGACTGGCATCCTTTCAAGAAACTGCCAAGTGGCCAAGTCTCATTCTTGGAAAAAATGGCACTCACGCATGCCAATGAAAAGATGTTCCACAAACAGTGGAAGTGGAAAAAGAAAGGATACTTTACAACAGTAAATATTAGACTGAAGACTATCAAAAAATAAACTCTGAATTGTATCTATAAACACTATATTTCTATTAGAAAGCCTAGGTCTCCAGGCTAACAGATTTCATCCCTCTGAAGAAAAAAAGACTATACCTAGTGTTCATAGAAAGCAGAAGCTCTTTTATCATATCCAGCCACAGGGAAAGTCTCTAGGCTAATCTGGAGTTGAGGAACGTCACACAGTAGAACAATCAAGCAGTCACTTTTCCCAAGGGCCAGACTTAAAGGGAACAGATGCTGAATGAAGGGAAGAGCCCTGGAATAAACCATTTAGTGGTCCCTCCTTAACTTCTTAGGCATTTTCAAGCAGTAGAGGGAAGACAACCACATAGGCAAGCTTTACCTACTATCACTAGGTTTCTCATTATTGCACACGAGATCTGGTTCTTTCCTTCCCAACCTTCTATCTCCATCAATGACATGACATACACAGACACACACACCCCATACACAGCCAATCACCATTCAAGAGAGACAGAAATGTAACCATCCAAAAAAATGCATTCAGATGATGAAATGGGCTAGCCACCTAATACAGAAGCCAGTGCAAAACTAAATATAACAACGTGACCCAGGGAGCTTCCAGGACTAATACAATCTCTCTCCAATTTATAGACAGGTTTATCCTTTCTTTTTTTAAACGAGTTGGTTCTCCCTATTTGGGATAATCAGACAAAAGCTTTCAAATGCCTTATTCAGGAGACCAACTGAAAATTTGGAGCCATTTAATGAGATGTGAATTTAAACTGGGCCTATTTCTAATCTACCAATCTTTGTGGGGCATAATGTGAGCTTGGAAACCTATACTTGATCACTTGTCACCAAACCTCCTCTGAACTCAAGGTAAATAAGCCTATGACTAGCAAAAATCTCTATCAATGCTCCTATACTGCACACATGAAACAGTCATGGCTGAAAAAGAACAAAATTTTTTAAATTCTTTAATCCACACCCAAAAAGAGGTGTAAGAGCACCCGAGAAATAATGGCGACAGGGACTGCCAGTGCCCAAGGGGGACAGCTGTTTCTGAGACCTTCTTTGGGACAGGCAAGGAACCAACCAGGGTACTTCTTTTTAAACGTCTCTCCATCGGCTCAATGACCGCGTTTCGGTCCAACAAACTGTTCTCCTTAGAGAGGCTTATGGCAAAAGCAACAGCGACTAAAGAGAAGGGAGAGAGCGATGCCTGGGATTTGTTGCAACACGTAATGCTGGAAAACGTGCAGCTGTTTACTACCAGCGCCCGGGAGACGCCGCGCGCAGCGCCCAGCTGAGCGCGCCCCCGGGGTCCGACCCCGCCTCCCCCACGCGCCCCGCGCCGCCCGCCCTCCCGACGGCCTCGGAGACCCCGAAGCGCCACGCGCGCTGGCCACGGGGCAGCAGCTCCCCCCCCGACCCCCCGCCGGGCACCGCCCGCCCCAAGTTACCTCTCAGGCCGGGGTTGTCGTCTCTGGCCCGAATCTTTCGGATTTTGACGGGGCGCCCGCTCAGGGTGGACAGGACCAGACGCTGGCGCAAGAAGTTGCACCCCGCGTAGCTGAGGGAGTGCGCCTGGGTTGCCATGTGCGCCACCCTGCACAGGCACGGGCGGCCCGAGCGCTGAGACTTCGGACGGGCGCGGGAGGTCGCGACTCCGGCGGCCACAGCGGCAGGGGCGGCTCTGGCGCGTCCCTCAGCCGCGCAGCCCCCGGAGTGTCCACGTGGTTTGGAACAGGAAGACGGAGAGACAAGACACCGGGTCAGAGGGGAGTGGGGAGGAGTCAAGAGCCACCTCCCGCCCGGCTGGGGCGGGCCCTGCGCCGGGACGCGCTGCTATTGGGCCGCTCAGGATCAGGGCTGCCATTAGCCTGCTCTCGTGCTGGGCGGTGCCCAGACAGCGCGGCTATTGGCCCATAGTGGAGCTGGGTGGTGCCCGAGCCCCGGCAACAGCGCGCAGCGGGAGGGAACGCAGACAGTCTGCCGGAGAACCTGGGCGCTAGAGTCTCCTGCGAGGTCGGTCTCCGCGGGGTTTCCCCAGGAGTGAAGCCCAGGGGAAGTGGCTCTCGTAGGGTGCCCACTGCTGGCATCACTAATCGCGATACACCCGTGAGAATGGTATCGTCTCTCCGGTCTTTTATCTAGTAGATGAGAAAACAGGGTTGGGGCGCTTACCCTGTTGTCCTGGCGCTGCCGGCACAGTCGCTTCGCCCGCCGCGTAACCCTGGGAAGGAAAGCTTCCCGCCTTAAACATCAGGACAGGCTCGAGGACATTCATTGCAACGCTGACGGCGGCAACCTGGACTGGAACCTGAGTCTTAACACTAGGCCGCTGCCCATTTTGCTTTGCCCCTTTTTCATCTGCCCCTATTCACCGCACTTCAAGCCAAGACAGACCTGTCACCTCTCATGCTTCGAAATGGATAGCTGCAAGAACTTCAAAACGTAGGCAACATACCGCTTTTCCCTCTTCTCCGTCCTCGAATCCTGTACACCAAAATCGTCCTATTGCATAATTTCACTCTTACCTTCAAAGATGAACAATTAACTAGCAAATGGCCACAATCTTAGTAGTCTACTAGAATGGCGAAGATTCGCAGTCATTCTTGGACAAGGTCACCAGACCTTGAGTTCCAGAACAAAGTAAGGGGTCGGGGTGGGCGAGAGGGGTGTCTGAAAGGGATGGGAGCTGGAATACGAATAAGGGACAAAACTAAACTGGGTAAGAGGCAGTTATGAAGAACGACTGGGAAGTAGTGACTTCCTAAACGGTAGCAGGTTAGCATTAGCTGTAGGTAGAACTTGACAGAACCAGACCTGAGGCCCCTAGAGATAGGAGAGTAACCCGTTTACATTAATGCCATACCTTGAAATTGCCTTTTAGGGAGTTGATAATGTTCGGGTGGGGAATGTTGGAAAAGCTCCTGGACCCCCTGAGGCTTTCTCCCCAATCCCATTAGGGGAATGCTAAAGCAAGGGAAGGAGCTGTTGTTCCACCTGGAGTGTTGTTGTTTTAAATATCATCTCATTTAATTAGCCAGCAACCTTAAGAAAACAAGGATTATCCTTTGTAGAGTGCCCTGCTCATATCGTTTCAGGTCTTATTATTTTCAGTGTAAACCTGTTTTCTTCTACCAGAGCCTTCATCTCTGCTTGAGGGGTTTTTCCCCCCACCTGCAGGGAATTCAGCAGGCCAACAATACTGGAGAATTAATAACAGCCACCCCTCCCCCTCAGTTTCACCCCAGTCTTCAACTAATGACTGACTGGAGATGGTGTATAAATACCCTAGCTCCATTAACTCTGTGAAAGAGCTCTGAAACATAAGATTGTTATGGTTTATATCCCACTCCACCAGAGCCCCAGGAGCTTATGGGTGGGCCTTTGGGGAGGTGATTGGACCATGGGGTGTGATAAACAGTGGATTATTCAACTGATGAGTTTATGGCTAAATGTAGCGCTGAGAGGTGGTGCCTGGTTGAAGGAGGCGGCTACTGTGGGCGTGGCCTGGAAGGGTTTCTCTCCCTCCCTGGCTCTGAAGTTTCCTCTGTAACTCTGCTTCCATGCCCTGAGCCATTTCTCTTCTCATGCCTCTTTGCCATGCAGTCTTGCCTTGGAGTCAGTCAACTGTGGACTGAAACTTATACAAACTGTGAGCCAAAATAAACCTTTTGTTCCAGTGGGTGTCAGACATTGTGTCTCAGCAAGGAGGGAAGTGACTAAGACATAGATCCTGCAGGGTTTCCCCAGGGTGCTCTAGTAGTTTTAAACTCCCATTGCCTATTGTTGTACTTGCTTGGTTAATTACTTTCAATGGCTCCTTTCCTTTCCTTGTATCATTTCCTAGTTCCCTCTGATATGTCCTTGAATTAAATCCCAAATAAATTATTTGCACTCAAATACTTGCCTCAGAGTCTTATGGGCAACTCTAAAATACTGTAAATCCTGACTTTCAAAATTTGACAACTGAGATTAAAATTAATGGCTTGTTTAAGGTGACACAGCTAAAGCTGGGCATGGTAATCCCAGTACTGTTGGAAAGCTAAGCCAGGAGGATTGGGAGTTGAAGCCCACCATTGGTAACTTATTGAGACCCTGTCTGAAAACAATCAAACAAAAAAATAATAAAGTGACATAGCTAGTAAATGACAAGCCAGAAATATATGTGTTAAAGATATTTGTATAAAGTAAGATCAGGCAAAGGTCTAGTTTCAGTGAAGCTGTCTTTTGAGAGAGAGAAAGATAGGCAGACAGACAGACATAGAGACAGACGTAGAGAGCCAGCATCAGACAGGGAAGTAAGCAAGCCCTTAGATGATTCCAGTTCCCAGCCAGCCTCTGACCAGCGTGTGGAGCCACCCTAGCTGACTCCATCTGGAGCTCAAGTAAGAGCTACCCACAAAGAGTCTTGGGTAGGTTTTAGGTGGACAAGCTGCATGATCTGCCTTACATGTTAAATAAGTCACTGTGGCTATCGGGTAGAGAACCGACATCCATTAAACTCCTGCTGTCTCACAGGACTTGTAGCATGCAGACATTAGTAACTTAATTTTACAAAATTAATTATCAATTTTAATAATAGTTAAAATATTATTTTTCAGATGAGCTACTGAGACTCAGGGAAGCTGTGTAACTGCCCAATACCATGGAGTTTAGGAAAGGTGTGATCCAAATGAGTATGGGTGGAAACTGTGACTTGCTTCTAACCAATAGAATGTGGCAAGAGTAGATAGGATGTCACCGCCCTAATAACATTGTGTAAGCTTCTGTCTTTCTAGTAGGCTTGCTTAGTCTTTCTCTGTTGCTGGCTTTGAAAGAGCAAGCCTCCATGAATTCTGTAGCTGTAAGAAAATGAATGCTGCCAGCAACCACGCTGAGTTAGAAGTGGACCCTTTCTTAGTTGAGCCTCCAGTGAGACCCTAATCCTGGTTGACACCTTGACTGCAGCCTTGTAAGATCCTGAAACACAGAGCCTAGCAGACCCAGGCTGGAGCACTTGACCAACAGAACTGTGACACATATGTGCTTAAGCCACTAAGTTTATGGAAATCTGTTATGTGGCTCATGAAAATTAATATACTGGTTTTGTCTGACCTCCAAACCCTGCTCCTTCTCCTATGATCTAAAAATATGATGAATGTTTAAATTTTTAAACGTTTATTACAGTAGAAGCTGGCGTGGTGGCCTATGCCTGTAATCCCAGCACTTGGGAGGCTGAAGCAGGAAAATCGCTGTGAGTTGGAGGCAAGCCTAGGCTACATAGTGAGGTTAAGGCCAACTTGGACTACATAGCAGACCCTGTCTCAAAAAACAACAACAAACATGATTACAGTCAAAAACACATTCCATTAACCTCCCTCAAAATATCCCTGTTTGCTGTGCACTCATTTATACCATCCTTCTTACCACTTCCTGAAGTAGTTCTGGAAGTCCTCTTTTGTGAGTGTCTTTAGTTGTGCTGTCATGGCTGCCTTGACGTCCTGAATCCATTGAAAACATTTACCTTTCATGGCCATTTTGACTGTGGAGAAGAGCCAGAAGTCACAGGAGCCAGATCTAATGAATGAGGTGGATAAGTTAATGGTTTTATGAGCCTGCCTTTCCTTGGGATGGCACCCACAGCAGCATTCACAGGTTTTTTGTTGTTGGCTCTTTTTTTTCTGGTACCAGGGATTGAACTCAGGACCTTGCACTTGCCAGGCAGACGCTGCTCCACTGAGCTACATCCCTGGCTATCACACCTCTTAAAGACACAAAAGAGGATTTCCAGAATTGTTTCAGAAAGTGGCAAGAAGGATGAGATAAGTGTGTCCAAAGTAGGGAAGTTTAAGGGAGGTTAATGACAATGTGTCTTTTACTGTAATGATGTTTTTAAATTTTAAACATTTAAATTTGAACATTCACTGTATATTTCAGCCAAACCTTGTATACCTCATTAGTCAAACCTATAGTGAAAGGGGTTAGCTGATTAGTTGATGGAAAACATAGATTGTCAGAATTTAAAGAAATTCACAGATCATACAGTCTAGCCCCTCTATGATAGACGGATTCCCTCTCCCAAAGGAATAGCTAAGAATATAAAAACGTTAGGGTACTAAATTGGAAGATAGCAGCCTGGGTCCCATTTGTATTTAGATGACAGCCAGAGACAAGAATAACTCATAATTTTTAAATTTTCTTATGCTTCTGGGAGAACCATTTGTTGTGATATTTAATTTCTGTTTTCCTAGAATTTTTAGCAGTAAAAATACTGGTGAAATGTGAAAAAGTTTGTGTGCTTGTCTCAGAGCATAGAGAAATGGAATAAGGTAAAGGAGTTATGTCTTGCTACACAACAATAAACTACATCTCACTGACTATGAAAATGAAAGATCACCAACAGATGATAGGAAAGTTGGTAGCATTTTTAAGGCACCAATTGTCAGTCTCTCTTTTTTATTCATTCATTTGTTGGGGGGGGGTGTTTTTTTTTTTTTAAGACAGGGTCTCACTATGTAGTCGGGGCTGGACTTGAACTCACTGTGTAGCCCAGGCTGGCTTCTAATTCATGGCAATCCTCCTGCCTCACTCTCGAGTGCTGGGATTACAGGCATGTACCACCTTGGCTGGCTATCCAATTCTTAGTCTTGAAGCCATTATATTATAATTATGAAACACTATAATTTGTAATTATGAAAATTCAAATGTGAATTGGCACCTAATATACAAATGTGGAATTGGTTGTCAATAGTTGCGTAAACAATACATTCCTGACATTTTAGTACTGTCTTAAATACCCATACTTATTCAGTCTCCATTTTTTATAGATTATTTGAATCAGAATTATTTGCTTGATCTGTTTCATATCTTCTAATTTAACTCTCTCTCTCCAACTCTGTTGGAATTCATTTGGTAAAGACACTAGTTGGATTGTCTTGTAGAGTTTCCCACGATCCAGATCCCCATGATGTCATCTGACATGTTTCTTTGATATATATTATTTGATATAAAGCATGTTTTCTCAAACTTGGCACTATTAACATCTTGGGTCAAATATTCTTTTTTTTTTCTTAACCAAAACCTTTATTGGTGCATTTTAGATATACATAATGATAACATTCGTCGTAGGGAATTTGTACCTGTACATGATATATCTTGCTTTTTTTTCCCATCAAATATTCTTCATTGTGGAAAACTGTTCTATATAGTATGGAAAGTTTGGCAGCAACCTTGGCCTCTATTTACTAGATGCTAGCAGCATCTCTGGCCCCGCTGTGACAACCAAAAATGTCTGCAGGCATTACCAAGTGTATCCTAGGGTGCAAAAGTCATTGATAAGGTGTTATAAAATCAAAATTCAATTGTGGGGGGCAGGAGGCATACTTCATCCTTAGGAGTATGCACTTCTGTCATGAGGTACGTAATATCTAGATGTCTCCTTTCTGTGTGTCAGCGCCAGTTATGGTTTAGATCTAAAATGTCCCCTCCAGAAGTCGGATGTGTGCAGAGTTGGGTCATTCTGAATGTGATTAGCTCATGAAGGCACTAACCATTGACCATTGAGGACTTCCTAGCTGAATGTGCTGTTAGAAGGCAGAGGTGTTTGGAGGAAGTAGGTCAGTAGAGGCTTAACCTAAAAGGATGTATTCTTGTGCCTAGCTCCT